AATCTAATGACGGCAGCCCTTTCCACAAGCACACAGGCTCCATTTCAGAATCCACTGAGGTTCAAGAATTGCACAGCTAATTCTTGATGAGATCAGGTGAACTGCTGGCTGCTCTTCTGGCAAGAAGGTCTGCTGGTATTTACAGCTCAGTGAACAGCAAGAAGGGAGAGAGTACCATCCAGCAGCAGAGGAGAACTCATCTGCTGTTACTTGATCTGACATTCTGTTCGCACTCACACTGTCTCCAGAGAGCAAGGTGCATCTATTTGATAAACATGGAGACACAAGTGGAAAGGGATGCAAAAACAGCCAATGAAGTGATTGCAGAAACAACAAGCCAAGGATCTGGGAAAGCAGCTCTCATTGGACTGCTACCTGCACGAGAGGCCTTTGGGTAAGGGTAGGAAACACCCTTTTAAATAGAGGTCTGTACTTTCACAAAGTAATGGCTGCAAGTTGCTACCTCCCCCCTCTGTTAATGCCTGTCACTTACTAGATTCTGAAAGCAAACTAGCTTGATGCTGCCAACCAATGGTCTTGACACCCAGTTAGAAAGTCGAGGTCAGCTGGGAGGAGGAAACCACCATCTTTTTTGGCAGCAGATGATCTTTCAAAACCATCACCTCCCCTGACAGAGTGGTATACTAAAACCTCACTTGTAAGGGTTGGGATATTTGTATGAGCAGTGATATGTTCAATAGGCAAATCCTTAAACTTGTCTAAAAACTGCACTGAACGGGTATCCCAGAAATGAATGTGTATCTGAAATGCTTCATTTTACTCTGTCTATACAGGTGCATTCGAAGTCTACTAGCAAGCCAGGTCTTTCTGCAAACTCTACTTACTAAAAAACAAAACAAAACAAAAATCTGATCCACCAGAGAGTGTGAACTAAGCAACCCAGCAAACTGTAATGTTCAGAACAACTCCAGGCGTCATTTTACACTACCAGGTCCCAAGCATTTGTCACTCAATGTTTGAACTGGGAAGTCAGTTAAAATGGTATTATATTGATTCTATGCTTCATAAACTATAATTCTAAGATAGTCTTTATAAGGGTTCAGAAATCCAATAAAATTCATACTCTCTTTAGAAGTCTTTGTAAAAGCATCACTGATTATCAGGAAAATGATGAGGTTATATCACAGGTAAGCTCACCCCTAAAACAAGCAAAGCTTGTTTGCCACGTGGCAAAAGGAGGCACTAGGTATTCCCAGGATATGTGAAAATATATTTGCACCATCTCCATCATCACTGTTGATTTCTCAGAACTGTAATGTTTTGTATTGCATGACAGAGACCTTCCAAACACTAACTCACTAGCTCACACACCAAAGAGAAAAAAATGGAATTGAGAGGAGTAGTTGGCAGGATAGCTCAGTGGATATAGGCACTCGTCATGTAAGGTGGTGACTTGAGTTTGATCTCCAAATCCATATAAAGTTAGAAGGAAACAGTGGACTCTACAAAGTTGCCTTCTACACACACACACACACACACACACACACACACACACACACACACACACAATAAAATTATAACGATTTTAAAGACTTGAGAATTAGGTTTCTGAAAATGATGTAAGTTTCCCCTTATGACTTGTATTGAGCAGAAAAAAATCCAAAGGTCAGTCTCTGTAATGTTCTTGGCCGATGAGGGTAATAACACCCTGTTCTAAGCTGCATTTGCTGCCAGTCCTTAATGGCAACATCTCAGCTACTAGGGACACAAATTCCTATTCCTCCTCCCAATCAACATACTACAACCTGGATGAGGACACAAGCAGAGGGAATCGGCTCCTAGCTTTTCTGAAAATGCTGGTGATAAAGGATCTGATAACATCCAAATATCAATATTCTTCCTTCCAAGTCGAAGGGCTATGCTACTAGACCCCCATCCCCTTTAGAAACCACTGGTTTCTCACAGGGTGTCACCTACATCGGACTCTGCAACCATCTACTTTCATCTGCCTAGGTGGAATAACACAGCATCTGAACTAACTTACACATATGGCCTGATAGGCTTGTCACCAATCACATTGCACAGGGAAACAGGAAATTGCTTTTCTGCAAATGCTACCAAGGCTTTCTGGCCTGGCCCCACCCAGAAAGCACAATCTTCCTGGCTACAAATGACTCTCGCTCAAGTGGTGATCTCAAAACCAATCTCTGGAAGTGAGGGCTCCAAAGAATCTGTCACTGGGATACAATGACACCAATCTCAGATTTTGTGGTTAATAAAACAAGTCCTGCATCCAGCTTGGCACAAGGCCCTGATCTGACTTATTTCAAGCCAAGCTCATAGGAAAAAACTGCCATTCATGAATGCTTCGGGAGGGCAGGTCAACTGGGTCTTTTGTACAGGCAGACACCTTTCTGGTGGGCTTTCTCAGCAAACCTAGTCTACTATGGTACATTTTGGTCTTAAAAGGAAACAAAAATCAGTAACAAAAACCTCAGTTTTGACAGGCAGTTTTCACAGAAAAGGTGTTTGTGGCTGTGACGAAAGGGAGAGAAGAAATGCAGGAAAAAAAAATGCTTTGATTCCTGATTTAATTGAATCAAACATCAAGACACGTCACCCTACCCCCACCCCACAGTGCAACCCAATATAAGACATGTACGACTTTCCTCAGAAAATCTTCTATGGCCTTCCTTTAAGATTTCGTGCCCTAGGACTTAATCAGGAATTTCCATTCTAAAGTAGCACACAGATCTCCTCAGAGAGCTCAGCTTTCTTTGAATAAAAAAGGCAAGTTACCCTTTGGGGGACTCGGTACATATTTTTAAACGTCTTATTAAATCAACCTGATTTATGGGGCATATTCAGGAAAAGCAGGTAGCAAGCTGCTTTGGTGGATGCAAAGTTACTTTGCCAGCCTCTCTCACCTCCCCTACCTCCACCTCACTTTCCCTCCCCTCGCCGAGGGCTTCCGAATGTCTTCGGGCCCCTCCGAAGCCGAAGCCACTCGGCCCTCTCCGTCTAGACCCCGACTGGGCTCCGAACACTGTCGAGATCCTCCG